AAAAAAAAAAAAAAAACTTTCAAAACTTTAAAACAGAGGCTTAAAATCCTCCTCCCCTTTCGGATTTCCTCCGAGGCTTGCATCTCTCCCTCTTCTTCCCCAAGGTTCAGAATGTGAGCTATGACGTTATGCTCTGTACTATTGTACTGCTTTAAGTCATACCGTATATTCAGACCAATGTGGAAAATGATGCTAATGTTTTTTAATTTTTTAATGTCTTATAAAGCTTTAGCTTTATTTATGAATACTTAAACTTTTACAATTATGTGGGCATTTCATATAACTATGGCAGTAACAAAAATCTTCAATATGAAACTTTTTGCGGTGTGCATTTGGTTGGTATATTAGTAATCAACTCTTTTAATTTCAGGTATTAAAATTTAACTTTAAAAAGTACAAACCCAGTTAGCAAGATGAAAAATTCCTAACAATCTGCTGTAAATATTGTGCTTATAGTTAACAATACTGTACTGTACACTTAAAAATTTAAGAGGGTGGATCTCGTGTGTTTTTACCACAGTAAAAAAAAAAAAAAAAAAGGGCACAAACCCTCAGAGACAAAGCCAAAAGCAGAAAGGGAAGGACAGAAGTGTCCATGGATCACCAAAGCAACTGAAATGCCACCAGGATGCCTTCCATCTCTTGGCTTCTCTCAGTGTGCCATCTTCATTCCCTCCTACTGCAGAGCAGCTGCTTCTCAATACCGCCAATGGCTTCAGACACACATCCACAGCCCTGTCACTCAAGAGGATGTGCTTCTCCTCCCTTGGATTAGAAAACTCCAAGGAAGGATTCTTACTGTCCTGGATTGTATTATTGCCCATCCTGTGTGCACATGATAGGCCACGCCCATTGGACCTGTGTTATCAAAACAGAGGGAGGAGAATTTCCCCAAAAGAAGGTTATACCATCAAGAACAGAAGAGAGATCCTGAGAAAGAAAAATAACAGGGGTCATTGACAGACCACAGTTTTGCTGCCTAGCACACAGATGTGTGCAAAAGTGTGTATATACTAACATACACATTCCCGCGCACACCTTCCCATACACATTTCCACTTCAAGAGATTTCCTTCTTCACATAATGCAGCTCTCCATATACAACTGCAAATGCATGCATGCCTTTCTCAGGAGTTTTATCCACCTCCTGTAGACGGCACTGGGTCCGGGATATCTAGGTTATGGCCGTTCGTCCAGATCAGGTCTAGGTATGTCTTTTTGTGATTCATTAACCCATTCCACCATGGACCAAATGATGAGTTTTAAGCACTCACACCCAGTATACAAAGGTAGAGATCTGAAAATAGAATAATTGTGATTTATAGAAAGAGGAAAAGGGAAGTAACAGAAAACATGGCATATCAAGCCACATCTGTCTATGTTTTCTCCTGAAAACGCCACTAAAATGACAGTCAA